CGCCGCGCGGCCCCGCCGCGCCCCAAGGTCAGTGTCCCCCCTCCGCGGGCCCCGCTGCCGCTCCGCGCCGCCCGCCGATTCGCTCCGCTGGGCGGAGGCTCCGTGCCGCGCTCGGGGCTGCTGCGCGCTCAGCCGCTGCCTCTTAAACAGCAGCGTCGCCTCGGCGAAACTGAGGAAGTTTAGTGTCCCGATAACGTGGCTTTCCCGYTCCTTTACCTCGTTCCCTAATAACGCCCGTCCTGCAGAAGCGCAGGGTGCGGGAGATGGATGCGGGGTGTGAGGGAGCTGGGGGGTTGATTGCTCCTCGGGCCGGTGTCCGGCGCGCGCCCCGCTTGTCGCCGTCGGCGGAGCACCTGGCTGCAGGATGCCAGCCCAGGGCCGGCCAAGGATCTGCTGGTGCTGGAAAAGCAGGCTCTGAGTGAGGGAAAACTACCACTAGTTGGGCTCTGCGTGGCAGTAGGAGAGCTGAACACATGGGAGGAAGTTTGGCAAAGACCTTGGAGATCTAGTCGGCTCCGGTGCTGTCAGAGGGATGGTTGAGCAGAGAGAAGCGCAGTCCCCGCTGCTCCTCTGAGCTCGTGAGGAGGTGATGTGGTGGGATAACTGCCTGAGGAGCCATCCGCTATCCCGAAGCCACCATCACATAATGTGAGCGAGAAGAACCATGGCAGTGTTGGGCCTGGAAGAGGAGCCGGGCAGGGAGCGCTGTATTAGCCAGTGTTCCCTGTGCTGGGCATCCAGAAACAGCCCCAGAATGGATTTCACCCTCTAGGCACTGACATCTGGGGCTTTCCAAGAGAAAGCTTTGTGTAAGAGGACAGTTCCAAACTTTTATTTATCTATTTCTTGGTAACAGTAAGAAGGGAGGTTGAATGTACTGGTGAGTATGAAGTGTGCAAGACAGGCGTAAATCTGCATCTTGCATAGCTGAAGTGACCTTTAAGTGATGTGTTCAGCCAGCATCTGCAGCAAGTGCGGCTCATGGGACACTGGAGGATACTCCTGCTATGTGTTCAGGGMCCTTTGGGATGACTGTTTTCCAGGATGGATGCTCTCAGTTTGGYGATGTGGAGGAGCTGGAAGGCCTGGGAACGGAGCCTTCCACGGAATCAGGAACACGCTTCCTCCAGGGATACGCGTTGCTATTGGCTGTCCAAGGAATTCTTTGAAAGGAAGCCAGAGGGTCTGACAGGCAGATGTAGCAGACTTGAAGATGAAGCAGTGACAAATGATAGTGTCACATTTTGAAGATAAAAGTGTATTTTCTGTCTCAAAGAAATCATGCATTTCCCAGTACATGTGACCAACTATGAATATCTTCTCCTTATTCTAACCTAGTCACTGTGTGTGCAGCAGTTCTTCATACAGGCTGTGCTCTGTGACTTGCTGGAGTTTGAATCCACATAGGARCAGAGCAGGCAGCAGTGGTGTTCAATTTTATCAGATGTTTGGCATCGTACAGAATTAGCAGGGTCTGTGGGGAAAGTTTCTCAAATGATTTAAGTAATTTTAGACTCCTTAAGTAAGCCCAAAGGACCTGCTCCWTGCTCTTGAACCTTGCTTGCGTGCCCAGAAGGGGCTGTGATTCCAAGGCAGAAGTGACTGTTATTCCAAGGCAACATACTGCCCTGGACTTGATTCTTTGCTTTGGTCCCGCTCACAATGCAGACACAAGCTGGTGCTCAGGCTGCAGCTGGTGAAAGATGAAGCATTCCCAGGATGGGCACTACATATATCTCCCATGAAAGTCTCCTGTTCCTGGCCTGCACTGTCAAGCATGCCCRCTTCATGTTCTGCACAGGACTTCCTTGCTTTGGAGAGCGCTGTACATGGCCAAGGAGAAGACTGGTGCTGCTGTTAGGGGTRGGGAGATCTGGAGACTAGGAGCTCCTAGGTCACCTCCCCTCTGGAGACAGCTCCTAGGTCACCTCAACCATATCTACTGACTTCAGATCTGGACACTATCTCTGGACACTGTTCAGAAGAATAGATAGCTGAGCCAAGAATTGTATAGGAWATTAGGATAAACTTCAGCCATTTCAGCAAAGAAGTATCCTAGCTTCTCCTGTCTGTTTCCATCTTCTCCATTGCTGATCTTCACAGTCTGTCCTTCTTGCATATGTAAAGGTCTGATTCCAAGGGAATGTCTACACAGCACACAAGGCGGTAGCCTTTTCAAAAGGGGTGTCTCTGATGGCATTCAAAGATTATTTAGTTTTTGCTGGCACACAAAGCATTAAGGGTTTAAGACAGGAGAAATGGCCATAGTGTTTGAGTGTGAACTAATTACTACTGCAGAAAACTTGAGGGAGTCAATATTGAAGATTACTACTCGTGTGGCACATTGTGGATTGCATGTATTAAGTTCTTCTTGCTTCTCTGTTTGAGGCATTCAATAACTGTTTTCTTTCCTATAAGAGCAGTAGGATATCATCCACATTGTGCCTCCTGTCTTTTAGTCTCTCTCTTCTGCAACCGGAAAGATCAAATTATATTAGAGTTTAGTAAGCTGTTTTAATACTGACAGGATTGCCTTTCCTAAACACTAAGCAACAGTCTAGACATCAGTGACACTGATTATTTGTGGAATATCTTTAACTATATCTTGTTAGACCTTGTTGTGTTGCTATTTTAGTCCCTCTGGTCTTTTGCAGAGTTTTAAATAATAAAGTTCTGCAGTTGTGTTAGTGTCTACTGTATTCTGGCATAATTCCCCTCTCTAGTAATTCAAAAATATGTATTTAAAGGGTGGGTGGGAGAAGTTAAGGTTCTCTGATTCGGATAATTTTGTTAACAGCAGATTCTTAGGAAGTCTTTTTTCTTATAACTGATAATGTCTATTTTGCCTTAGCCACTRTATAATAACTAGTGTACCGGTGAAATAAAAAACTTCCTTGAATAATTTCAAACCAACAAATCCTGTGTGGAGCTTATCAGATAAGCCACAAAAAGTTAAGCTCAAGACATAAAGCAGGATCAAATCCTACACTGTCAGCAAACAAAACTAGTTGCCCTTCAGGGCTTTAATTTGAGCATTGCATGAGTTGTGCTGTGAGGTGAGAGGACGTGGAAGGCACGGATTGCGTTTCCCACCTGAGCCCTCGCTGTGCTGGTGCAGGAGCAGGCGGGATTCACCCTATCTCCGGATTAGCACTCGTGGGGAGGTCTCCAGCTCTGGTCATCTGCAGGCACCAAGCCCCAGCTGTGGCAAATCCTGCAAAAGCCCCCRGTTCCTGCAGGGAGTCAGGCACTCATTTTACAAGAGTGCAGCAAGTTTCCTTACGGGATACAGGTGCCACTGAAATCTCATTGCTTATGTAGTTTTTCTGTATGTGCTAGGAAAAAAATAATTTTTTAGACTTTAATAATTTTCTCAATTGGGAGTATTTCAGTGCATAAGTCCCAAGTGTCCATGGGTTTAGGAATACTTAGGAGTACTTGTGTCTCGTACAGCAGCTAATGTAGCTCCTCTGTGCTCTTCCCAATGGGCATCAGCTGGGACACATCTATTTAGGTGTGATTGAAGGCAGGTGGGTTCAAAGGTGCATTCAGAGGGGAGWGAGGCTTCTTCAGAGGGACAACTCTACCAATTTGCAGAAAGGGAGAAATTGTTCCAGAAGTATCTAGAGCGTATTAATTACTTCATTAGCTAGCTTAGTTGATGAATGAGGTGTAAGTGGCTGGGATTTTGGGAAGGAAGACCCTCCCTGTGGAAGGACAGCCTTGAGTTATGTGTATCCTCACAACTTTTCTTTTTAATGGAACACATTCAGACTGATTTCTTGGGCTCAAGTCAAACCTGCCAATTGAAGATCTGACTTGTAAGGAATGAGTGCTAATGTAATGTAAGGAATGAGTGATCTGTGAGGTTTTATCTTATTTCCTTGGGGTTTCTAGGTTTTACACTTCTGAATAATTTTTTTTTTTTTTTTAAATGATGATGCTAGTGATGTCTTCTTTTCTTGTAAGGTGGTGATTTTTTCCCCTGCCAGACTCTTATAAGCTCTCTGATCTTATCCTAATGGCAGCCCCTTATTCATGGTCATATGGTTGTTTCACTCTTCCTGTTCAAATCCTTTTTWAAAATCTCTTCCTAGCTGCACTGTCTGCTAAGGCTGGATGCTGCCAGTTATGTTGTATTTACTGCCTCATGTAACAAGTGTGGGTTTTGGTTTTTTTGCTCTTCTATGTGTATTTGTAAGGCTTGGTTTCCTACTTAAGGTGGCCACTTTGCAGGGCTCATCTGCTTAATGAGAACCTGGCCAAGAATATTGGGGACCAGCTGGGCAGGGTTTGGAGCGYGGATGGGAGTGGAGGGAAATGAATCAATGCTTCTCTTCCAAAATATTGTTTCCTCTCAATCTTTTAAAGGGAGTGCTATGATTTTATATATAATATATATTGCAGTAGTCTATGTATTTATGGTACAGCAGTCATATACTGCCCTGCCACTGTGTCAGCAGGGTAATGTGGTGAATTTTCCTCACACAAGTCTCCCTTTAAGCCATGGAAGCTCTGACAAGGCTAGAACTTACCCAGCTCTGCCTCTCTTTGTTTCCCCTGCTTCTCACAGAGCACTTTATCAAGACATTGCAAGAATACCACGTGGTGGAACCATCAAGAGTAGATGCGAGCGGGCGTTTTCTCTCTTTTAACTTGCATCATGACATCTCAAACACAAGGAAGAGGAGAGACCTCAGCAAAAAGGAAAATGTGGTGTATTATAAAATCAACCATGAGGAGAAGGACCTGTTTTTTAACTTGACTGTCCACACGGGATTTCTTTCCCATAACTACGTTGTAGAGAGGAGACGTGGCGACTACGCTAGCGCGAAGATCGCATCTGGCTCGCGAGCTCCTTGCCACTTCATTGGCACAGCGTGGCAGGCAGGCCTGGGGAGCGGCACGGCCGCAATCAGCACTTGCAACGGCCTGGTAAGTGACTGTGACCTTTCGCTGGGCTTCTGGGCTAACATCCATCTCCTTAGAGCTGAGCTAGAGCACGTGTATATGAATGTGTGCTTTAAGATATCCTGTTGATAAAACTCTGAAAGTATCAGGCTAAGTCTATGGGTATAATCTGATTTTTTTGAAGGACAGCAAAATGAATGGCCTGTGAAAGCGTGCAGATCAGTGCATTGACCCCTTTAGGCTGAGAACACCTCCCTGCACAGGCCAGAGAAAGAGTTCAGTCTTGAGTATGAACTCAACAGCAAGCTGAACACCTGGAATCTGTGTTGTTTTCCCACCAGCTGCTTTGTAAAGGGGTTGCCTGCTATAAGAAATGGAAAGCTTTGGAAAATCTATAGGCTCCTGAAATAATCTGACAGTGTGTGATGAGCAACACGGAGACAGGTCTGCTGTAGATGAAATGGGAAACTTTGGAGTATAGCGTGTGAGTGCTGAAAACCCTTTTGGCATATAGCCCAGTTTACTTGAGATAACTGATGGGGAGTTGGTGCTTTGAAGATTAAAAGTTTGCCCAGTCATTTTTCTTTCCGGTAGGGACTAACTTATTAAAGCTTCCCTGAAATTCTTTATATCAAGGATGGGCATTTATAGAAAGGTGCTGTGGTGCTACAAATAGCTCCTTTGGTTGATTCATTGTGTGCTTTGCCAGAGCACCTTTGTTAGGATTCATGAAGTGAGAACTTGGAAATGAAATGCTGGATGATCATTATGCTTTCCAAAATAGACTGCAAGATGGATTTAAAAAAAAAAAAAGTCACTCAGACTGTTATAACTTCCACCTGGTAAAAATGTTTCAGAAATGACCTTTTCACTTGGGCTCCATACTCGTTGAATTTTATTTTGGAGATCTCTGAAATATTGAAGACAGAGCTGTATTGTTTGTGTTCTTTTTGATAAAATTGTTTAATCAGAAAAATATTTGCCCTTGCCTCCTTCTCCCTCCTCCCCTGAAAAATCAGAAGTTTGAAAATGCTCATGTATTGATTCAGGTTRCAGATGACCTGGGGGGAAAAATGAGTTTTAATGGGATTTTTTTTTTTAATCTCAAGTCTAAAAGCGGTAGAGAGGAGGTGGAGGTGGAGATGGAGCTTATCTGAGCCCTGCCCTGAAGAGGGTGCAGTAGGAGCTTGGCTGGAATCTCTGAATGTYGCAGGCTGGGGAAGGTGGCTCAGCTTGGCTTTCCTCTGGAAGCCCCCCGAAAGATCCACTGTGGCACAAGAATGTTTRTTATTGCCTAATAGGCTTTTGGCAGCATTGAGAAATGGAATCCAGATTTCAGGATGCTTTAAACCAATTTCTGGTGGTCTGCTGTTGGCCTGAGGCAGTGGTTATTTATTGCTATCCTGGAAATGCCCYTTTTTATTAATTTTTATTCTCTTCAACACTGTGGCTTTTTCATGGGCTGTGTTTTATTTCTCTATAAAATACATTTCCTGCTTCTCATGAGGCAGAGAAGAACTGAGAATAGATGAACACTATAGGATTAGCAAAAAATACTTGGGATATTTAAAAGGAGAAATTGAGGAGAAATTACTTTGCAGGAGATGCAACTCAGTGGGGTGTGGTGTTTTGTGGTTTTTTTTTTTTTGTGCTCCATCACATAGTTTAGATTTCTTGGGGTGAGTTGCCCTGAGAGGTGGTGGAGTCTCCTTCTCTGGAGATTTTCCAAACCCACCTGGATGCCACCCTGCGCCACAGCTCTAGGTGTCCCTGCTGGAGCAGGGGGGTTGGACGAGAGGATCTCTAGAGGTTCCTTCCAACCTCAACCACTCTGTGAGTTGATAAGCATATATGGGACTAAGATGGATGGGAGAGAAAGATGACAGAAAAAAAGGATGGCAAACCAGTGTGGTTGTCTGGTATCAGCTACTCAGAGCATCAGTGGGCAGCAATGGTCTCTGCATGGGCCTCACCTGAGTGCCTGGGCCAAGCCTGGGTGCTGTGCAAGGGTCCCCATGAGCACCTTCCTGTGTTGAGAGCTCACCTGGTGCTCATGTTTTGCTCAGGCCTCATAAGCAATTCGCTGAGCAGGAAAGAGCTAATATCTTAGCCTTCATGAGCAGGTAATGGTCATAGAGTGATGCTCTGTTCCCGGTCTGCTCTAGGTATGTAAAAATAAAATAAGGATGAGTGGTGAGGATTTATGTCTTCACAGAATGGCTGAGGTTAGAAGGGACCTCTAGAGATCCTCTAGTCCAACCCCCCTACTCCAGCAGGGACACATAAAGCACATGTTGTACACGAGAGGGTTTGGAAGATCTCCAGAGAAGGAGACTCCACATCCTCTCTGGGCAGCCTGTTCCAGGGCTCTGTCACCCTTACAGCAAAGAAGTCCTTCTGCACAAGGAGATGGAACTGCCTGTATTTCAGCTTGTACCCATTGCCCCTTGTCCTGTCACTGGCCACCACCAAGAGGAGTTTGGCCCCCTYCTCCCTACATTCTCCCCTGAGATAGTTATATGTATAAACGTATATTATATACGTATATGCGTATATTGGTCAGGTCTCCTCKTGGTCTTCTCTGTAGGCTCAGCAGACCCCAGCACTGATGGAAAACATAGAAATGGCCTTTCATCTCCCTTGTGTTTTTACTTTTAAAACGYATCCCTGTTTCCCTCCACTACTGTTGTGGGCATTGCTCTTTCGTGTAACAATGGTATCGCTCTTACTATTCATTTTATTCGTGACATTTTTGGGAATCAGTTTTTATCCTCCATAAATCAAGTGGACAGATAAAACAGCYGTTGCTGAGGAGATGCAATTTCCAGGGGGCATCTGTTTGACTGCCTGATATTTACAGATGGCTYAAAAAGAGAAGCAGCACTTGCAAAATGTAAGAAACAACTTTCTGCTTGATTGCTGTCAGTGTTTCTCAATATGGTGTTTTGCCATCCTGCTTAGGATTTAGGTATCTTGGAGAGAGGGGCGGGAGGGGACACTTTAGCCATTTCAATTCCTTTGTATTTATGCATTTTCAAAATGGCCTGTAAAGCCAGAAAGTGAGAAGTCATTGTGTGAGATTTTTTTTTTTTTTTTGATTTAACTCTATCTTTATTTTTAGAAATATATTTTTACATCAAATGTGTGGGGGTGTGTGACTTTRGGGGAAGCCCCAAAGGAAAGGTCACCACTGGAGCACTAGAAATGAATTGTAAGTTGTACTTGGGAGGTGAATGGGTATCCAGCCTCTTTGGTACAGGAAAGTTTCCAAATGGAGGGAAATATTTTAGTTCTTGTCTCTCAGTGGAAATATTTGGATTTGTGCTAAAGAGACTGCCAAGACGAACTTGTGATAGTGTTTTACACTTSTGTAGTTTGCGCAGAAGTTTGTGGCGGATGTTTGCAAACACTAGTGTGTTAATTCTCAGTTGTGCAGTAGTCCTCGTGTGGCAGCAGCAGAGTCAGACATCCCCTAAATAGCCCTAGGAAGGGAGCAAAGGGCAGGAAAGCTGAAGCATTACCCCAAGTTTATGTACTGAGTTACTCTAGTGTAACTGTTGCCTAGCACCATTTCATGAAAATGAAGAAAAATCTCTGGTGCTTATGCAAAACCATGTATATTTTTAGTCATAACCATGTAAGTGAAAACATGGTAAGTGAAAAATCCATTTTTTTTCTTGCAAGCTTGCTTTAATTTTGAGGAGCTTGATATTTTCTCTTCCCCCATGATATACAAAGCATGAGATGCTGCCTCTGTGATTTCTTTTATCTTATGAGATCTCCCAGGTGAAACTGTTTGGTGGATGTACAGGGCACTGGGCTCAGTGGGAGTGACTTAGTACTGCTGTTCTCCACTTGCCCTTCCTACGGATACAGAAAACCCATGTTAGTGTGTCAGGAAACTTGCTGTTTTCCTTAGGCGATGTTTAGGGATAGAGAATTGTTTCCTCTAACCAGCTTTATAATAAGGAAGCAAGGTAATGGAAAGATAAAACTTGTACTAAGCTCATATATTCTTATATTAAAAAGGATTCTTGTCTGCTTCCAGTTTGTTAATCTGTTGTGAAAGGGCGTAATCAGAGCCCTGCAGAGCTGATATAGCCCAAAGCAAAGACCCTGTCCCTCTTGCTGATGGATTACCTGCACTTCAGTCTTGGGGTGATTTCTAGCTCATGTGCTGATGAGCGTCGTCTTTTCTTGTTCAAGACTTCCTGAACAGCATTTCTGCTGCATATCTAAATTAACATTTTTCAGACTCTAGCTTTTAACTTTTAACCCTCCTTGTGTCAAGCCTGGTAGGGCATAGGATTGTATACCTTAATTATTAGTTATGATGTAACTGAAATCAGCTTGCTCTGTAAGCATAATCCTCAAAGATAAACAGAAAATGGAATTGAAAAATTGAGCGTCTGGACTGACTGATCTGTAATCTGATAATTGAAGGGAACCTTTCAGGATTGTTGCTACAGTTTCATGAAGTAARTTGATTATGGTAACTTGGTAATGAGGCATTTTATATCTCTGAAGCTCAATTGTTTCTTTCCTTGTAACTAAGCCTCTATCATTAGTCTAAGTTTTGGTATCCTTGTAGTATTTAACTTATATGACTAGAAATCATTTCTCTTCAAATGCARGCAGTTTTCCGTTTTCACAAGTAAGTGAAGAAATACAATTAAGTAAAGGTTGCACTTCTCCTTAAGTTACCCTTATGATCATCTGAAACTAAATTTGGCTCTCTTTCCTCATATGGACTCTTAGAGCCTCGGAATACCTTTGGAAAAAGTCTTTTGGCTTGATGCCTATTGTTCTAAGATATGCTGATGGCAAAGAACTGTGTATCTTAATCAAGTGCTGCAACAGCAATATACAAGTCAACTCTGTTGGAATGAAGTGTATGCAGGAACATGCATCTTTCTCTACAGATTTCCACAGTAACCAGTTTTCTTTACTTTAGAAGAGATAACAAAAATACTGAGTCAAGATTTTCAAATTCTTCTGTGTTTTTGCAGCTTTGCTTGAAAAAC